GTCCTCTCCCTTTTTTCCTTGATGAGTCTGCTTAAGGCTTGTCGATTTTGCTTATCTTTTCAAAGAACCAGCTTCTGGAATTGTTGATCCTTTGAATTGTTCTTTGAGCCTCTATATTATTCAATTCTGCTCTGATCTTGATTATTTCCTTCCTTCTACTTGCTTTGGGCTTTGCTTGTTGTTGTTTTTCCAGTTCTTGAAGATGTAGGGTTAGGTCATTTGTTTGAAATGTTTCTATCTTTTTTAGGTAGGCCTGTACTGCTATGAACTTCCCTCTGTCCCACAGGTTTTCAACTGTTGCGTGTTCATTTTCATTTGTTTCCAGAAACTTTCTGATTTCTTCTTTGATCTCATTATTGATTCATTCGTTGTTTAGTAGCATGCTATTCAGTCTTCATGAGTTTGAATGTTTTTGAGTTTCTTCCCTTGAGGTTGGTTTCTAGTTCCAAGCCCTGTGGTCTGAGAAAATGCTCGTGATGATTTCCATTTTTTTGAATTTGTTGAGGTTTGTTTTGTGTCCTATCATGGGTCTATCTTTGAAAATGTTCCATGTGCATTTGAAAAGAATATGTATTTTGCTTCTTTGAGATGAAAAGTTTGGGATATGTCAGTTAAATCCATTTGATCTAATGTGTCATTCAATTCCACAATATCTTTGTTGATGTTTCGTTTGGAAGATCTATCCATTGTTGACAGTGGGGTGTTAAAATCCCCTAATATCTGTGTGTTGCAGTCTATATCTGTGTGTTGCAGTCTATATCTTTCTTGAAGTCCTTCAAGATTTTCCTTATATATTTGGGTGCACCTATGTTGGGTGCATATAGGTTAACAATGTTTATGTCTTCTTGATGGATTCTTCTTTTGTATGATGAAGTGTCCTTCTGGATCTTTTTATGGCCTTTGTTCTGAAATCTATTTTGTCTGATATAAGTATTGCTACTCCAGCTTTGCTTTCTTGTCCATTTGCTTGGAATATGTTTTTCCATCCCTTTACTTTCAGTCCGTACAGGTCCTTTGTCCTGAGGTGGGTCTCTTGTAGGCAGCATATGTGTGGGTCATGTTTTCTTATCCCTTCAGCTACCCTATGTCTTTTCATTGGAGCATTTAATTCATTTACATTTAAAGTTATTATTGATACTTACTAATTTTTTCCCTTGGTACCTCTGTTCCTCTCTTTCTCACTCTTCTTCTTCATCTTCGTAAAGCAGTCCCTTTAACATACCTTGCAGTGCTGGTTTGGTGGAGATGTATTCTTTTAGCCTTCTTTTATCTGGGAAACTCCTTATTTTGCCTTCCATTTTAATTGAAAGCCTTGGTGGGTAGAGCAGTCTTGATTGCAGGCCTTTCCTTTTCATTACTTGGAATATTTCTTGCCATTCTCTTCCAGCTTGTAGTGTTTCTGTTGGGAAGTCAGCTGCTAGCCATATCAGGGCTCCCTTGTATGTTACCATCTCTTTCTCCCTTGCTGCTTTTAGGACTCTTTCTTTGTCTTTGGTATTTGCCATTTTACTTATGATGTGTCTTGGAGTGGGCCTCATTGGGTTCCTCTTGAATGGGATCCTCTGTGCTTCCTGGATCTGTGTGATTTTTTCTCTCCTCCAATCAGGGAAGTTTTCCATCATTACTTTTTCAAACAGGTTTTCTATCTCTTGCTCCTCTTCTTCTCCTTCTGGTATCCCTATTATATGGATATTATTACATTTCAGGTTGTCCTGCATTTCCTTAAAGGCCTCTTCATTCTTTTTGAATCTTTTTTTCATTGTCTTGCTCTTTCTGGGAGCTTTTTTCTGCCTTTTCCTCTCCTCCAGCTTGCTGATTCGATCCTCTGCTTCATCTAGTCTGCTTTTGATTCCTTCTACTGTGCTCTTTGATTCAGAAATTGTATTCTTCATTTCTTCTTGCCTCTTATTGATAGTTTCTATGTCCTTTTTCATGCTGATATAGTTTGCAGGAAGTTCTCATAGTTTCCTGTAATTCTCTCTGAGCTCACTGAGCTCATTGAGCTTCCTTAGAACCATTGTTTTGAACTCAATATCTGATCGTTTACTTGCCTCTATTTCATTTAGTTCTCTTTGTGGGGATTCCTCCTTTCCCTTCAATTGGGGGTGTGTGTCTTTGTCTTCCCATCATTTGTGAGACTCTTCTTTTTTTGCTTCTGCTTCTTAAATTGATCTGTCTTGACTTCTTGACTTTGTGGTGTGAACTTCTATGGTAGAAGACAGCTGTTTTTTTTCTTCCTCGATCTGCTTCTGATGATGTCAGATGTTTATCCCATCTGACCTTAGGCAGACTGTTTGAGACTTCCAGGAATCTACCGTCTGTGGCTGTCTCCTTCAGTTGTTTCAATCTTGTTTATCTTTTCAAAGAACCAGCCCTTGAATTCATTGATCTCTTGTGTCATTTTTTTTAGACTCTATTTCATTTATTTCTACTTTGATCTTTAGTATTTTTTTCTTTCTGCTCACCTTGGGCTTTGTTTTTTGTTGTTTCAAGTTCTTTTAGGTGTGAAGTTAGGTTGTTTATTTGAGCTTTTTCTTGCTTTTTTTTGTTTTGTTTTGTTTTGTTTTTGAGATAAGCCTGTAATGCTATGAGTTTCCGTCTTAGGATTACTTTTCCAGTGTCCCACAGATTTTGGATAGTTGTGCCTTCATTTTCATTTGTTTCAAGGTATCTTGTGATTTCTTCCTTGATCTCGTTGTTTAATAACATGGTATTTAGCTTCCATGTCTTTGTTTTTCAGTGTTCTTCTTGTGGTTGATTTCTGGTTTCATAGAATTATGGTCAGAGAAGATGTTTGATATGATTTCAGTCTTCTAAATTTATTGAGACTTTTTTTGCATCCTAGCATTTGGTCTGTCCTAGAAAACATTCCATGTGTAGTGCATGTGTTACTTTTTAAAAAGTTTCAAAAAAATCTTTTTAAATAAATGAAACATTCTTTTCTGATATTTCAGTTTTGTTAAAAAGTTGGAAAAGTTACCAGGTTTCACTCTTTGAAAACCCTTTCACAGAGAACATTTCTTTGTTCATCCTAAACTAATGGCTTGAAAAAAACCCCAATAATGATGTTTCTGGCAATCAGTTCTATGATCTCTATCATTCCTGATGGTTAAGCCACATTCCTACTTCTGTGACTCAACTGACGGTACACAGATATTGCTCCACTTCCTGTAAATGCATAAGGTAAACACTGTGTCCTCAGTCATAGTTAGGCAATGCTCCTCAGCAGAATTTCAGATGGCTGTCTTACAGGAAGATGCACAATTTTCCAGGCAAGAGGTGGCAGCCTTGAGGATTCCGCTTGCCATGGAGTGACTGTGCCTTTCACTATACTACAGTATACTGACTTTCAATTAGAGACTTATCATATAGTTATGAAACACTTTGTGTAGCTAACTAGAAAGCTTGTGTTTCTAGAAAATTCTTCATTCTGCAAGTAATGTATTAAGGTCTAGCTTCTTTTCTTTTCTATCCTTGCCAGTCTTTTTTTTTTAAGGCACATGTCAAAAACCTTTATTTTAGAAGGCATAATGATACAGGATAACAATAACATCATGGTGTTTCTCCTAAGAATCATGAAAAAACATGTTATTAGTTTATATTCTTAAATCCAACAAATATATTGGGTATGGCCCACTATCTTTAGAGTTCTGAATCACAAAGTTTCTGGACAGTAATCATATTGTAAAAAAAAAAAAAGACTCAGTATTTAACCTCACCCATTTTAATGCTTTGTTTGTTTCATCACCTTTCAATGGAGTATATTTATAGCAATAATTCAGCACACTGATACCCAGAGCCCATAGCATCCAACAGAAAGACATATTATGATACTAAGAGCCATTTTGCTTTCAGCTCAACATCACTATTCATCAGAGAAATGCAAATCAAAATCAGAGTAAGTTACCACTTCACACCCATTAGGATGACTATTATAAAAACAAAAATAACAGAAAATAACAAGTGTTGGCAAGAATGTAAAAACAATGGAACTTCTGTGTATTGCTGATGGGAGTACAAAATGGTGCTGCCACTATGCAATACAGTTAAACATTCCTTGAAAAGTTAAACGTAGAGCGAGGACTCCAACAGATATTTGTACACCAAAGTTCACTGAAGCATTATTCACAATAGCTAAAAAGAAACGATCTAAATGTCTACTAACAGATAAATAAATAAACAAAATGTCATATATACATACAATGGAATATTATGCAGTCTTATAAGAAAATGAAATTCTGACACGTTACAATATGGCTCAACCTTAAAAAAATTATGCTAAGTGAAATAATCCAAACACCAAAGGACAAACATTGTATGATTCCACTTATATGAGTTACCTAGAAAAGGCAAATTCATAGAGACAGAGAGTAGAACACTGGTTACCAGGTGCTAGGGGAAGGAAGTGATGGGAACTTACTGTTTAATCGGTACAAAGCTTTTGGTTTGGGATAATGAAAAAGTTCTCAAAATAGATAGTGGTGATGACTGCACAACACTGTGAATGTAAATGCTTTATGCCACTGAATTACATACTTAAAAATCGTTAAAATGGTAAATTTTAATAAAGAAATCATTGACAGCTTAAACAAAAATAATAACAATATAGTATGGGTTTACAACATACATAAAAGCAAAATGTTTAACCTCACAAAGACTGGGAAGAGAAAAATGGAAGTAGCTATTGCCAGGTTATACTTTAAGTGAAGTGGTACAATATTACTTGAGGGTAGACTGTGATGTTAAAGTTATAGACTATAAACTCTAAAGCAATCATTGAAATAGAAAACAAAGAGTTATAGCTAATAAGCCAACAATGAGATAGAACACAATCGTAAAATATCAAGAGTGAAAATGTTGCTTGATCCAAGGATTTTTCCTTTAAAGAAACTCTTGCTAAAATGCTACACATATTTTTTTATCATTTAGTGAAAGGTCAGTTATTAAACCTATTCATAAATAAAATTAAATCAGAGAAAATAAATGGCAAAAGCACTTACTGCCCAGACCGGTGATGTAAAGCCCAGAATTGCAGCCTTAGCTCCATCAGCAACATAAGGAATAATATTTTCTCCCAGACGTGTATCTCTGAACAAGGCTCTAAGGATATTTAAAGCATGAACCTAGAATAAATAGTTCAAAATTAGTTGTGGGTTAAAGACAGCAGTAATTCTAAATATGTACATACCTAATAGCATAGCCTCAAAACAAAACAAAACAAAATTACCAAATTACAAGAAGAAACAGACAAATGAAATACCGTATTTGGCCGTGTGTAACGCGTTCCCGTGTATAATGTGCACCCATGTTTTTGGCCCAAACTTTCAGAAAAGAAATTTTTTCATTTTAATTTTTTAATTGTTATTTATTTACTTATATTTAGAAACAAAACAGATTATCATTTTCCCAGGGCATTATTTTGCATATGGACATTGTTACTGCTTTCTAGAGCTACATTTTAAATGCATAAGCATAAATAAAAGAATTAAAAACACAGATAGATACAGAATTAGCACTACCCATGTATAATACACACCCTAATTTCTCCCTTAAAAATTTGGGCAAAACAGTGCACATTATACATGGCAAATACAGTAGATTTTAATAAAACACACCTAATAATTGATAAATCAATTTTTGCATAGTAAATTTGAACAATGAAATAAAAAGAAGCTTGATCCAACAGACATATGTAGAGTCCTGCATCTAACGGAGGTAACACACTCTTTTCATGAAACGTTCATTTTTACCTAATTAATTAATTAATTCTTAGAGAGAGGGTAAGGAAGGGAGGGAGGGAGAGAAACATTAATCAGATGCCTCTTGTACCTGCCCCAACCAGGGTCCAGGCCTGCAAGCCAGGCTTCTGACCTGACTGGGAATCAAACAGGCAACCTTTTGCTTTGTTGGACAACGCCCACCAACTACATCCATCAGGGTGAAACGTTCATTTTTTTAAAATGGCCTCAAACCTAGCCACAAATAAAGCCTCAAAATATACCAAATAATAAGCTACAGTTTATGCTCTAATCACAGTGGAAATGAGTTGGAAATAAATTTTCTTGAAGTACTTTCAAAACTGACATTTTAAAACACTGTTCCAAGAAGAAAAATTTTAATATTTAGAACTGGACAAAATGTAGCTGCTACACCATCAACACTTGTGGGATACACATTAAGCAAAACAAAAAAATTAATAAACACTTGTGTTGAAAAAGAAAGACTGAAAATGAATATGCTAAGTGTCTGATTAAGACAAAAGAAATAGAACATTAAACTCAAAATAGAGAAAGAAAATCAAAGAGAGCAGACAATTTGAAAACAGCAATGATACAACTAAGAAGCATTAACAAAACTAAAAGCTGATTCTTTCTAATACAAACCTCTGACAAGGCTAACGAAGAAAAGAGAGAATAAAAATAAGCAATATCATAAATACCAAAGAGGACATGATTATAGATACAGCAGAGAATAAAACAATAATAATGCTATGAATAATAATGCCTTAATCAATTGGAAAAATAAAAGCAAAACAAACAATTTCCTAGAAAAGAGAATTTGTCAAAACAAATTCAAGGAGAAACTGAAAAGCTAGATAGGTTATTTCTATCATATAAAGAAAAATCAATAGTTAAAAATCCTACCCACAGACCAAAAAGGGGAAGAAAAACCCCCAACAAAATAACCACAACAATGAAAAACTATGTACTCGCATTATTTTATGGATGAATTCTACCAAATATTCAAAGAATAGGTAATCTCAATCTTGTATAAACTGTTAGAGAAAATTCCCAAATTTATTTTATCAATCTAGTACAGCCTGTCTATCAAAATAAGGCAAGGACAACTACTTTGGGAAAATGGTAGTAACTATGAAAGCTGAATATACACATACCTAATAACCACTCCCGGATATCTACTCAGAAGAAATGTACATGTATCATTTACCATTAGATAAGCACAAGAATGTTCTTAAAAGTACTATTCTTAGTAACCTGCCCCCCAAAACAGAAACTACCCAAGTGTTTATTAATAGAAGAATGGATAAATTGTATAACATTAAATAGCAATGAAAATGAAATAATTACAACATGGATGGATATTATAAACACAATGTTGGTTAAAAGAATCCTTATCAAAAGAGTACATAATGTACAGTTCTATTTATATAAAAATTCCAAAAAACAGGTAAACCTAAAATTAAAGTGTTACAGTTAGGCCAGTGGTTACCCTTTGGGAAAAGGTGATAATCGGAAAGGGGCATGAGGAGGCTTTTGGATGCTAAAATGTTCTGTTTCTTGCTGGCTACACAAGTGTGTTCATTTTATAAACCTTTACTGAGGTACACATATGATTTGCACATGTCTTTGAATGTATATTTCAATAATAAATTTTACATAAAAAATAAGGAGGTAACAGCATAAAAAAATCATATTCCAATCTCACTTCTACAGTGAAAATGTGCAAAAATAATTTTTAGAAAAATTTTAAGTGAATCTAGCAACATGTAAAAAAAAAACCAATCATATCAACATTGGAGGCTCATTCTCTGTATGCCAAGAATGTATTATATTAAAAAGTCACTATAACTCATGATATTTTCAAGAAAATATTTATCTCAAAAGATGCTTGAAGGCATTCAATAAAATTCAACTCATTTATAATGAGATACAAGACAGATTAAAATCCAGCAAATATCAGGAACAACCTAAGGATGCCTGCTATTTCTATACAAAGCTGTACTACAATTTCCAGACGGAAGAATGAGATAACAAAAATGTTTTAAAGATTAAGAATTAGAAAGGTAAAACATAGTTAGCATTATTTACTGAGGATATAATCACCTACAAAGAAGATTCAAGAGAATTTACAGACAAGTCATTAGTTACATTACAACAAGTCACCATGTCACACCGAGCAGAAAGGCAAGACTGTGTACGAGGGAACTCTGTTCAGAAATTAAAATAAACTTGGAAACAGGACTCATGGATGTGACATCAGTGTGGTGATTGCAGGAGGGTGGAGGGATAAGAGAGTTAAATGGTAATGGAAAAAATACAATAAAAATTAAAAAATAAACAAACGTGGCTCTTACTAACCTTAAAAAGTAATGTTATTTAATAAACCTAAACTATAAAATAAGTGTCTATCATATCATTGATGTAAAAAAAAAGGTCATGAGAAATGAAAAAAATGCATAAGAATGATTTTATTTAGTGGTTGTAGCTGAGGAAGAAGGAAGGGGAATGGGATGGGGAAGAATCCACAATGTATATAATTGCATCTGCAATGTTTTAGTTCTTAAACTTGGAATTGGTTTCATGGATGTTCATTATTCATTGGGCTTTTTTTTACTAAAGATTTTACTTATTTATATTTTAGAGATACGGGAAGGGAGGATGAAAGAGAGGGAGAGAAAAAAAGCATCAATGTATGAGAGAAACCTTGATTGGCTGCCTCTAGCTCATACCCCAACCAGGGACTAAACCTGCAACCCAGGCATGTACCCTAACAGGGGATACAACCAGGGACCTTCTCCTTTGCAGGATGACGTCCAGTTGACTGAGACACTCCAGTCAGGGCTTACTGGACTTTTTTATATGCTGAAATATTTCACAAATACGCAATAAATATAATTAAGAAATAAACCATGGTAGGGGAGAAGGAAAGCAAATCATCAATCAACACCTAGAGACTGGTCAGAGACAAATTTAAATATTTTATTAATTTAATAATAATGCTGCCCTGGCTGGTGTGGCTAAGTGGATTGAGCGCTGGCCTGCAAACCAAAGGGTCACCAGTTCAATTCCCAATCAGGGCACATGCCTCGGTTGCGGGCCGGGTCCCCAGCAGGCGGCGTGGGAGAGGCAACCACACACTGATGTTTTTTCTCCCTCTCTTTCTCCCTCCCATCCCTCTCTAAAATTAAATAAATAAAATCTTTAAAAGAAAAAAATCGTCACTATAATGCCATTAATGATCTTGAAGTGGAATAGGGCAATAATTATTCAGTACTCTTTAAAACCAAACTCTGTTATTTTTAGATGTTTTTATACAAAAAATAGTACTTTCTAAAAGTGATAGTTTAGGAAAACAGAAGCAGTTATATTTTTTGCATTTTATTGGAAAATATCTTAAAATGCTCATTTCTGAAAGGTGATTAATAAAACTATAGGTACTTATTGCACATTTCAGCTTTCAGACTGTTCCCTGACAGTGCAGGTCTCCCACAGATGAGTATGAATGTCCTACTATGAAGCATTTGCCAAAAAAGCCTAGACAGGAAGTATCTGACAGGCATTTACTATGGTGGGGTGGGGAGGGGTGGGGTGGAGAAGAGCTGTGAGGGGCACTTACCCCAACTTCATACACTCATGTACACACATACTTAACCAAACTCTAGCAGTGACTACTAAAGGGACTAAGTGTTAGCTAAAATTAAAATCTGAATATACCAAAAGTCAGACATTACATTTTAGGGATTCAACTGCTCAATTACAAAATGTAGATCAACTTGAAGCAGCCCACATGAAATTTTAAAGTGATAGCACACTCATTTTCAAATTTTGAAATTCAATAGTAAGTATTACAAAATATCTACTAAGTTGGATGTTTTCACCAGAGTTTAAAAGTAAGTAGTTCATTTTGGTCAATACATATCAATTAAAGCAATAGTTTCTTTCGTGGACAGGAAAGACCAAAATGAAATAAAACAACCAAAAAAACTGATTCAGTTTCAAATCCTGTCCTATCTTCAAGAGTTCTGTCTTTGGTGGATATAGAAGAACTCTTTGTTTTCTTCTTTTTAAGTACACAAAGACTTAAAACCACTGCCTTCCTAGCAGTGTTTGTGTAATTTCTAGTATTACCTGGGGGACAGTACTCAGTGAGTCATCAGTAGGCAAAGCCAGAGAAATTAACTCTTTCATTGTTGTTTTCAACAAATCCATTTTGCCTTTCTTAGGTTCAGATGCCAACAGTGCCTAGGGAAAACAAAGCAAATATTAACAAGGGTCTTATCTTGCTACTTCCCAGAATCAATCTCAAAATGCAATACCCCTTTTATAAAATCATGTGGTGTCAATCAAGTTCATTAAGCCATGTGGCTTTGAGCAAATAGTTTAATCTCTTCATTTCCCAGAGTCTTCACCTGTAAAATTAGGGAAAGGTGGTATCATGGAATCTTTAAGGTCACTTCTAGTTTGCTTGTTAATTATATCATTCTAAGAGGTTGAGAATGGCTCCTGTTGACAACTCTTTTATGATCATAATTAGGTCGCAGGTTTCAAATAAACTAAGCAAGTCAGTTTGAGTAACAAATTTACCCAACAAGAAAATACTCTTTACTTAAAAACAACAATAAAACACTGGGATTAAATTTAAGAATTTGGAGAGTCACTGGAGATGCATCAATTATTTAACTTTTCACAAAAGAATTTCTATCTGGAGGACTATCAAACTGTATGTAGCATTGACAACTCCATGGGACAAAAGAAAAAATACTACAAATTTGAAAGAGGTCCTACATTTGAATTTTCAAGGGCTGCTTATTTACTTTGTGTCTAACTTTTGCCAATGTTCAATGGACATCAAACTAGGATATCAAACCACTTGAGGCAATAAAAAAGAATGAAGTACTGACACATGCTACAACTTGGATAAACCTTGAAAACATAAGTGAGGCCCTGGCTGGGTAACTCAGTTGGTTAGAGAATAACCTGTATATGCCAAGGTTGCAGGTTCGATCCTCAGTCAGGGTACATACAACAATCCACCGAAGTGCATAACTAATTGGAACAACAAATCAATGTTTCTCTCTCTCTCTCTCTTTCTCTCTCTCTCTTAAAAGATCAATAAATAGCCCTGGATAGCATGGCTAAGTGGATTGAGCACCATCCTGCAAACCAAAGGGTCGCCAGTTATATTCCCAGTCAGGGCACATGCCTAGGTTGCAGGCCAGGTCCCAGGGTTCGGGGTGTGCAAGAGGCAACTACACATTGATGTTTCCCTCTCCTTCTCCCTCTCTTTCTCTAAAAATAAATAATTAAAGTCTTTAAAAAAATTGTTAAGATGGTTAAAATCATGTTAAAAAAATCTAAATTAAAAGAAATCTTAAAGAAAACGTCACACTAAGTGAAAGAAGACAGACACAAAAGGTCACATGTTATATGATTCCATTTATATTAAATGCCCAGAATAGGCATATCTGCAGAGACAGAAAATAGATTAGTGGTTTTGTAGGGCTGTGAGTAACACTGGTATTTCATTTAGTATGCAGCTACTGGCTCCCATGAGTGAAAAGTTTCAAGTGACTCAGTTTCTTTTGAAGCATTTACAATCCATAAAAGAGTTGAAAGGGAAGATATACATGTAAAATATGTTTAAGAGAGAAATTTCTCACAGTATTTTTATGCTCAGAAAATATATCTACTATTTTTTCATGACCATTCAGAAAAAATTGTATCAGTCTACACAAAAAGAAAGCTCCTTAACTAAGGAGGTAGTTTATTCTTCACAGCTAACACTGAGCAGAGGTTTCCACCAGAACAAGAATATAACTTTATTGCTAAGTTATGCTAAGGGAAATGGGGCCTCTCTGAGCAGATTTTTCTAATAATTTAGATTTTATTAAACTAAAATAAATAAGAAAGCTATATGCAATATATCAAAATGTCTTCTGGGAACCATGGCTTCCCCCTCCAACAGCTGTGTGTATGCAGCATGGCACTTTTCCCAAGGAAAGGCTAATAAAGTGCATGTCCTGATCACTATGACCAATATTTAGTACTACTTGGGGATCAGAGGTGGAATGAGCACATAGCACAAACATGCAACGAGACCTTGCTATTGCATTAATATTTGTCCTCAGACAGATGACTGAGGAAAAACTACACCAGGTCAGAACAAATTACAGATAGGAAAATAAACCACAATGACCCAGAATGGGTCAGAGCAGAGAGGGAGTGATTTCTGGAAGTCACCAAAATCTATCCAGGACAACTACTTCGATGGTCTTTGAATCAAATCAATGACCTCTGTTGCCCATAATCATGTAAAAAAAAAAAAATCATCACTTTGGGAATTTGAGAGAAGAATAAGAAGGAGAAAGAAAAAAATGTAGGGGCACTAAAAAACAGAAACTTCATTTCACTTATTTTCATTGCTTTATTATACCACCCCCATTCCTGAATTTTTCTTACTGAATATTAAACAAAGACCTTTTCAGGTCAGAAATGTGTATAGATGATTAATCTATATTAATCATTATTAATTAATATATCACTATATTAATTAATATACACATCTATACAGATGGTTAATCAAGCTCTCACAGATGTTCTATACCACTGCCAATATTACTATTGTGAGGACTTCCGTTTTTAATCTTTGGATTTATGAAAGTGATGGTCTCTTAATTTCAACATTGTGCAAATAAAATATTTTCCTATCCAATAGTAATATCTGCGTGTACTGATAGGGAGCAACCTTTAACATATTGGGTTGGCCAAAAAGTTCATTTTTTTCTGGTAAGATGGCTCTAGTAGTGCTTAGTTGTCTCTAACTTCATTTGAAATGATTTTGTTAGATTGTATTGTGACAGCTGTCATGTCAGCGTGCATTTAAAAAAAAACTTATCAAAATTGGTGGATTTTTGTGTAGCCATTTTAATATTGAAGATGGAAGAAAATACCAACATTTTCAGCATAATATGCTTTATTATTTCAAGAAAGGTAAAAACACAACTGAAACACACAAAAAAATTTTGTGCACTGTATGGAGAAGGTACTGTGACTGATAGAACATGTCAAAAGTGGTTTGCAAAGTTTCATGCTGGAGATTTCTTGCTGGATGATGCTCCACGGTCAGGTAGACCAGTGGAAGTTGATAGCAATCAAATCGAGACATTAATTGAGAACAATCAACATTATACCACACAGGAGATAGCCAACATACTTAACATATCCAAATCAATATAGTTACTGGTGAAAGTGAAAAAATATGTCTTTTATTTTACAGAAAAAAAAAACAACACACAAACTTTCTGGCCAACCCAATGTAATGTTAAATGAAAAAAAGCAAGGAGCAAAACAATGTGTGTAGTATGCTTTCATCTGTGTTAAAACAGAAAACACACATATCTATTGGAGAGGGGTTCAGCAGTCAGGTTGCTTGGGCTCAAGTCTTAGTTCCACTCTTACTATCTCTGTGGCCTTTGGCAAGTTACTTAATTTTCCTAAGTTCCAGCTTCATCATTCACAGTATACAGACGATAACAGGACCTATTTCACAGGGCTTGAGGAAGGATTAAATAAGGTAATATATGTGAAATAAGTACTTACAATTGTTAGCTGCTATTAGGATTATTTTATACATGGACATTTTGCAAAAGGATTCAAAAGAAACTCTTGACCTTTCAGGGTCTTGAAAGGAGAGGAAGACTTTTTTTTTCCTAATTAAAAAAAAAGGCAACACATGCACTTCTTGGAAGTGAGCATGAATGTGTCACAGTGATGTCTGTCTACTTAATAAAGAGGCAGAAATCTATACCACCCTCTGTTCATTACAAGGCTGACCTCTGAGAGGGTTTGTTCCAAGAACAGATCTGTCACCGGAACATACTGTCCACACATTAAAACCAAGCTACAAATGCTATAGTACTGAAAAGACAGAGATGTCTTTTATGCAATACTCCCTTATATGTCAAGGGGGTTAGAATACACTATTATCAAAAGACAATCGGCTACATGGTCTTGTAGGTAAGTACCTGTATGTAGAAAGGAATTCCGGCACTGCGCCTCGTAGCACAGAGTTTAGATGAAGGATCACTGCATTTAATTTCCTCTAAAACATTCCATAACCACTGTTCTGGTAGCTTTTGCAGACTCACATTAGGGCATCTAAAAGGCATATATAAAGGCAACATTTGAAATTATCAGGTACCAAAAGTTAAAAGTACAAACTATTGATACATATTAATACTGTTATAAAAGAATACATTTACATTTGGAGGGAAGAAAACTAAAAAATGTCTCACTTTCTACGTTTCACCTACTCTCCTCTTTATTATAGGTCTTAGGGTTTGAAGCTATTAAAGATTCAAACAAAATTCATACAAAAGCATATAAAGCCTGTATCTTGTCTTCAAAATAAGTTTTAATACCTAGGCTTGTACGCACACTCAAAATGTTCTATATAGATGGTTAATCAAGCTCTCATAGATGTTCTATACCACTGCCAAACTCGAGAGTGGCAGCAAAGAGAATGCACTTTATACCTTATGGTGATTTATGGCCTACATTTATAGAGATTATACATATTTAAATGTATATGTGAATTTTTATATACAAATATAGAAATTTCAAATATATATTTGAATATACAAATGATTAGTAATCATTTTCATCTCTCTCAAAATGTGGACTATCACAAATAAATATTTCAACCAAATCCTACAGAGAATTAATAAAGCAAGTTATCTAGAAAGAGGCATAAACATCTTGAGGTTATTTGGACATTACTGTTAGTGAACTCCTGGCTCTGTTATATTAGGTGTTATTCTACAAATGTATTTAAATAGTAAATAAATTTTTAAAAAAAGAACATTTAATTTTTTAAAAAAATTTTAAACTTAGGCCCTCACAGATTGTATGATACTATCCTATAGTAAATTCAGTGGCAGACACAATTATTTTAGGAGGGCTATAACTGGATTTAACTAAAATTAGTATATGAGACAAATGGGGAGGGAAAAGATGGCGGAGGAGTGAAAGGGAGTCACGCTGACCTCCTCCCAAAACCAAACTGGAATTGCAACTAAATAATGGAGTAATCACCTGGAAAGCAGTGGAGCAATAGTGGGAGAGGAGCCTTGGTGCCGCGGACAGTGGATTCTACTCTCACACATCCCAACGGGTGAGAATTGTGGTGGAGGCTCGAGAGGGTGGGCTGGGTGCGCACGGGCACTGGCACCAGAGGGACATTGAAACGGCCAGTTAGCGTCCCCCCGAGAAGAATGGGGTCTGAATCATAAACAGGAACCCCTAAACTACAGCAGCTAAAGCCGAGAAAATACAGACAAAACGCCAAACCCCCTTTTTTTGCAAGCCCAAAAAGCTTAGGGGCGCTCTCTGCCAGAGACAGGTGGCTGGGGATGCAAAAAGACATTTAAAGGGCAAATGCAAAAGTTGCAGCGGCAGCCACCCTCCTTGATCGCTGGGTACAGGCGGCAGCAGGGTGGGCTGGTGCCTGGGAAAAGACTGGTGAGGAAAACTTTGTGAAGAGAAGTGACACGGCGGCCGGTGGAGCCCGGGTGATAACGCACTTCCCACTCTGCAGCTACCATCTCGCTCAGGCATAAGGGAATCAATTAACCTGCCTTTTGTGCGCTCCGCACACAGCTTGTACGCCTGTGAGCTACGGGGCTGAGTGCAGACGGGCTGGGAGAGCCTTGAGGAGAGACTGGAGACGGAGGCGTTGGGGAAAGAACGGGAGGAGGAACTGGGGAGTCCCGACTCCCTCCCCGTTCGGTAGTCTCCATTGTGGGCTGGAAAGGGGCGACCCCAAAGAGGCAGAAGCGGGGCGCGCATGAACCAGACTGCCTGCGATTGAAACGCAGTCCACACAGGGGTTGGATCCTTGGCCGAAGGGGTCACAGAACTGCCCAGTGGCCCCTGAGGGGAGACTAGAAACGGAGGCATTGGGGAAAGAACGGAGGAGGAACCAGGGAGTCCCGACTGCTTCTCCTTGCCGAAGTCTCCATTGCGTGGGAAGAGGCCACACCCCCAAAGAGCCAAAAGCCGAAAAGCAAACATAGACACCCCCAAAACACCCAGAGCAGGCGCGCACACTTGCGCCGAGTGACTGGCGAGGGTTGGCGAGCGTGTGTGTGACCCACGCGGGCTGGCGAACTCTTGTACCTGCCGGCAAGGCCTCACACAGACTGGCACCCATACGGCCTGCGAGGGATTGCACAGAGGGGCAAGGGCAGGCGTAAATTGACCTACCCGCCGCGATTGCGGAGCAACCCACAAAATAAGTAGAGCTGCCCAGAGTCCCTGGAGGAGAGACCAGAAACAGGATTAACCGGAGAGTCCTAGAGCTGATTTCCTCCCATTTCCGTAGTCCCCATTTGGCGAGGGCAAGCAACGCACCCAAAGAGCCAAAAGCGGGGAAAACACACAATAGAAGACCCTAAACTGACCAGTGCTGCGAAGCTCGCGTGCCAGGGAGGCCAGATGAGTACAGGAGGTCGCGAATAAGCCCCCTGGTCTGGGGCAAACACATACGAGCCCAGGCAGGTGGGGGACCCTGCCGCGCTGGGAACGCGCTCAAGGAGCCCGTGTGAGAGCGCAGAGAGATCCCAAAAAATAGCCCAGCCCTGACTGAAGGGGTCACAGAGCTGCCCCAAGCAGGAGTCAGACACAGGCATTAGACTCCTGAAAGGCTCAAACAAACAACCCAAGGCCCTATAGGGTCAACAACTGACATCATCAGAGGCAAGCCCAGAAAGAAAAGTAAAGGACAAAAATACTTAACAGACTCTCACAAAAATGGGAAGAAAAAGAAGTTCCCCTCAAATGAGTGGAATAGGGGACTCCCCACAGAGAGAGCTAAATGAAATAGAGGCAAGGGAACTATCAGATATGGAATTTAAAACAATGGTTCTAAGGAAGCTCAATGAGCTCAGCCAGCTCAAAGATAACTATGAGAAACTGCAGAGAAACTATCAGGATCTTACAGCAAACTATATCAGCCTGGAAAAGGACATAGAAACTATCAAGAAGACACAAGAGGATATGAAGAATACCATTTCTGAATTGAAGAACACAGTAGAAGGAATCCAAAGCAGGCTGCATGAAGCTGAGGATCGAATCAGTGAGATGGAGGACAAGGTAGAAAAAAGCTCCCAGAAAGAACAAGAAATGGAAAAACTGCTCAAAAAGAATGAAGAAGCATTTAGGGAAATGCAGGACAACCTGAAACGCAATAATATCCATATAATAGGGATACCAGAAGGAGAAGAAGAGGAGCAAGGAATAGAGAACCTCCTCGAAAAAGTAATGATGGAAAATTTCCCAAATTTGAGGAGAGAAAGGCTCTCATGGATCCAGGAGGCACAGAGGACCCCACTCAAGAGGGACCCAAGGAGGTCCACTCCAAGACACATCATCATTAAAATGGCAAATGTCAAAGACAAAGAGAGAATCCTCAAGGCAGCAAGGGAGAAGGAGAAAGTAACATACAAGGGGGCCCCGATACGCCTAGGAGCTGACTTCTCAACAGAAACACTACAAGCCAGAAGGGAATGGCAACAAATATTCCAAGCCATGAAAAGCAAGGGCCTACAGCCAAGGCTGCTCTACCCAGCTAGGCTCTCCATTAAAATAGAAGGAGAAATGCGGAGTTTCCCAGACAAAAGAAAGCTAAAAGAATACATCTCTACCAAACCAGCACTCCAAGATATGCTAAGGGGACTGGTTTAAGCAGATGAAGGAAAAGAATGAGACAGAGAGGAACACAAGTACAAAGAGAAAAGATGAGTAAGTTTCTATCAGTAATATCTCTCAATGTGAATGGACTAAATGCCCCAATCAAAAGACACAGGGTAGCTGAATGGATAAGAAAACATGACCCACACATATGCTGCCTACAAGAGACCCACCTCAGAGCAAAAGACCTACACAGATTGAAAGTAAAGGGATGGAAAATAATATTCCAAGCAAATGGACATGAGAAAAAGGCTGGTGTTGCCATACTTGTATCAGACAAAGTAGATTTCAAAGCAAAGGCCATAAAGAGAGACCCAGAGGGGCACTTTATCATACTTAAAGGAAGAATCTATCAAGAAGACATCAACATTGTAAACTTATATGCTCCCAATATAGGAGCCCCCAAGTTTATAAGGAAATTGTTGGATGACTTCAAAAAAGATATAGACAGCAACACACTGATAGTAGGGGATTTCAACACCCCACTGTCAAAAATGGACAGATCTTCCAAACAAAACATCAATAAACATATCGTGGCGCTGAATGACACACTGAATCAAAGAGACTTAACTGACATATATAGAACCTTACATCCCAAAGAAGAAAAATACATATTCTTTTCAAATGCTCATGGCAGTTTTTCAAAGATAGACCACATGATAGGACACAAAGCAAGCCTCAGTAAATTCAGGAAAATTGAAATAATACCAAACTTTTTCTCAGACCACAAGGCCTTGAAACTCGAACTCAACCTCAAAGAGAAACTTCAAAAACTTGCAAACTCATGGAGACTGAACAGTACACTATTAAACAATGAATGGGTCAATAATGAGATAAGAGAAGAAATCAAAAAATTTCTGGAAACAAATGAAAATGAACAGACAACTGTCCAAAACCTATGGGACACAGCAAAGGCGGTCCTGAGAGGGAAGTTCATAGCAGTACAGGCTTACCTTATAAAGATAGAAACATTTCAAATAAAAGACCTAACACTACAACTTCAAGAACTGGAGAAACAACAACAAATAAATCCCAGAGCAAGTAGAAGGAAGGAAATAGTCAAGATTAGAGCAGAACTGAATGACATAGAGACAAAAAGAACAATTCAGAGGATCAACCAATCCAGAAGCTGGTTCTTTGAAAAGATTTATAAAGTTGACAAGCCTTTAAGCAGACTCATCAAGAAAAAAAGGGAGAGGACCCAAATTAATAATATCAGAAATGAAAGTGGAGAAATAACAACTGATACCACAGAAATACAAATGATCATCAGAAACTATTATGAACAATTATATGCCAAGAAATTTGAAAATCTTGATGAAATGGACAAATTTTTAGAAAAGTATAATCTTCCAACACTGAAGGAGGAAGAAACAGAAAGCTTGAACAGACCGATAACAGCTGGGGAA